ACCCCTTCCCCCAAACAAACAAAAACAAAACAAAAAACAACCAAACAAAAACAACCAATGACAATAAAAACAAACCCCAAAAAGCAAAATACAAACAAAAACCCAAAAAACAAAAAACTCTCAAAAATCACCATAAACTCAGGTATGATTGACAAGGTTTGCTGTGAATGACAACAGATGTTCTTGTCCCTACCAAGGAATTCCAAGGGTGTCAGAAACTGTGCTAGGACAAACACGGAATTCTCCTGTTCTTCCTCCTCCTCTTCTTCCTCCCCCTCCTCCTCCTCACTAACTACTAGTTCGTGTGTTGGGTATTTTCCATGCATGTATGATTGTGTACCAAATGCATGCAGTACCTAACAAGGCCAGATGAGGACATCAGATCTCAGGGAACCTGAGTGACAAACAGTTGTGAGCAATCGTGTGGTTGCTGGGAACCGAACCTGGGTCCTCTGCAAGAGCAGCCAGTACTCTTAACTGCTGAGCCATGTCTCCAGCCCTCTACCCACCTTTTTAGACTTTGGGCATAAGAATAACAGTCTAAGGGACTGTGCCCAGCTCAGTTCAAGCCTGCCCCACACTCTGTCCCGCCCCTGCTTCTCATGTGACACTCCTCTCCACCCACCTCTGAGGGCCATAGCTTGAGAAGATCTTTCTTCCTTCCGGAACCCCTGGGTACACCCCAGTGAGAGCTTGCTGGTGTCTAACCTTTTCCTTGATGGCTTATTGCTCTCTGTATTGTCACCTGCAAAAGGACCTCATCTGCTGCCCTCCACAGCTCGTCATGCCCAGGACACCACCTAAGGCTCACAGACTCTAGGAATGTCCTTAGTGACAGATGCCCCACTGTAACCTTTGGGCACAGGATTTGTGGAGGCAAAATAAAAACATGGGGCTCTTATCCAAAGACAGTAATCAATTCAAGCCAGCCACAGCAAAATGTCTAACTACACTCAGGGCCTTTTGGAGGGTGGCGACTGCACCCTGAGACCAGACTTGAGGTGGGCCAGGAGAGCTGATAATTTATGAGTTCCAGTCAGCCCCCACGTTCCGACTGAGCTGATCAGAGTCGAGGCAGTGCAGAGCAGTACAGGAAACAGAGATCAGTAGAGTCGGTAGGGGCGGCGGGGGCTATGTGGCCCTCCTGGCCAGGTGCACTGCGCCTCCGTCCAAGCAGCTGTGGAACAGCCTTGGAGAGCTGAATGTTTTCCTCTTCTATTTTTATTTCTTCAAATCTGGAACCAAGAGAGGCCAGTGCCAGAGTTCTAAAGGGTCTGAGCCAGGAGAATGGGGCCCACGGGCCAATAGGAAGTGTCTAAAGAGGTCATCACGCATGTCTTTGGCAGGGGCAGACACTCACCACCCCAAGTGTGGGTCGGGAGCGGCCAGCCTGACAATGCTGAGCCCTAGAAGAGACTAAGGCTGGCCAGGGCTGGCAGCACACACTCCCTGGAGGTGCCGTCCGTTGATATGGTGAGCAGAATCCTGCTAGAGGCATCATTTTATGATGCTGTGTGCAAACAAACGGTTGTGTCTGCACAGCTGAGCCCTGGCCAGGAAGACCACTCGTACCTGTGCAGTTTCCACTACTGAAGCCCGGGGCCAGTGCAGCTCTCAGACTTGTCCCGAGCCTGTTCAAGTCCCGAGTACTCTGTGTCCTGAGCACTGAGCAGGTCTTCTCTAGGTAGGCAGTCAGGAGCAGACCACACCAAGCCTCTCCCAAGCACACCAAGGAGCTGCACAATGAGTAACCTTCGAGGAAATTTGGGGAGGACAGGTAATCATATGACACACCTAACTGGGGTCTTGGCAGAAACCCTGGATTCAGCATAACCCTGCAGTTGTGCTTGCTGTTGGTTGACGGTGTCTGTACAGTTTCTGTGTTGGTTCCTAGTATATACAATGAAGCAGCATTACATGAGGCTTTTGAGAATTCTGCCATCTGTCCAACATGTCCTTCCTTGGATATGGTGGGGGAGGGGCATTGTTCCTAAAGAGTGGGCTTTCTGCAGGTAGGGCCAAGGTTTCTAAGTAGTATGTAGAAAGGTGTGCTATGTTGGCCCCAGGAGACTCTGACATTTGCCTTCCACAAAAAGTTTTGCAGAGGAAAGGGTGACGTTCCTGTGAGGTTCCTTCAGAGGTACCCCATGGCACTGACACCCCTCCCTGTCTCCACACTGGTCACCAGGTTCAAGGTCATGTCTGGAGATGCGGACCCTCAAGCAGTCTGGAAGGAGGACAGAGACACCATGCTGAGCTTACGTGCAGTCCAGAAACTTTCCTGGTTTCAGAGACTAACATACAGTTTTGGGAAAGGGTGCTTGGGTGTCCAAGCTGGGAGCCAGTAATCCCTGCTTCTTAAGCAACCTCTGGAAATTCCAACTCTGGGAGCCTGGGTTTCAGAAATTGTTAGCTGGAGGCTTTTAGCAAAGTCTGTCACCTGCTGGTGCCCAGTGTTAAACAGAGCTTGGCAGAGGTGGAAGCCAAGCAAGGGGAAAGGTGGTAGACTGTAAGTTCATCTGGTCTACCACACATGACCATAGAGCCTGCTGTGGGAATGGGCTGGCCGGAAACAAACAAAAGCCACTTTCCTGTCCTGCCGCTCATGAATCTCTCCATTTTCCTATGCCTTCTGGGCCTTGGGCACAAATAGATGTCCATCTGCCAGTTTGAAGGTGTCAGCTGACCTCACCCCTTTGTGGATGAGGCCATGGGGTGTGCTGGTGACAACGGCCCTGGGACCTCTCCTCAGTTAGGGCGGCACACAGGGAGGAACCAGGTGGCCCGCTCTGCCAACTGCTCAAGAGAAGCCCAAACTTCTTATTTGCAAAACCATATTGGCAACGGATTAGTGTTTTTTAAAATGTGTAAACACCCCTGGGGGTGGGGTTGAGAGGCTAAGGCACATCTGAGAGGCCACATCTGGACCTCCGGCTTGTGGCTCTGGTCTTCAGCCTGGAAAACAGAACAAAAGCTAAATTGTCAGGACAGGGACAGGAAGGTTTAGAAATCGCAGGGGCTGGAATGTGCTAGGAGCGGCTGGGTCGCTGGGTCTGAGTCAACAGGGGAAGAGAGAGCAGCCTGTCCAAGTATCGGGCTGGGATTCTAGAAACATCCATCAGGTGACCTTCTTGCGCACTTCAAAGACAGATGGAGCCAGATGAATGCTTTCCCAAGCTTGCTGGGGCCCACTCCTTCTGCAGCCCTGCGGTGGGGCCGCCTACCTCCACAGCTGGCCTGCGAAGGCAGCCCCCAACTGCCCGGGTGACAGTCACTGAATGACGCCAGCTATGAGACCAGTGGGGCTTTCAAGTTTGGGGTATACGCCCCCCTTTTCTCTTGTGCCTCTATTTTATTGGGATGACTAAATCTTTCGACTATGTTAGCAGTAAACACAGCTAATTTACCCCCTGCCTCTTTGAAGCAGCTGCTGACAGCTGGGCTGTAATTCAATCAAGGATCTTTGCCATCCAGCCTACCAAACTCACATTTGTTGTTTGGTTCCGTCTCTCCCGCCCCCAAGCCCCACACAGCTGCACCAAATATTGACGAGAGCCTCCCCCCCCAGGGCCTGGATGATAAACATCCCGCTAACAGGAGAGATCAAGGTTGAGGGTTCTCAGCAGATGAAACTCCGATGTCCAGGAGTACAGGGGGAAAAAGACACAAAGACACACATGGGTCCGACAACCAGAACCAAATGTCTTCTTTTATTGCAAAGTCAAACCCCTTCTTACTCTATTTATACAGAATTTTCACTAAGGACCACTTTATTCGACAGCTATGGGTACATCGGTCCAACTGTTAATAAATAGTCTTAAATAAGAAAACAAACTGAAGGAAATTGGCTTCATTGTTCTCTGTGAGGAGCCTTTGAAAAGAGCTTCAGATGGAAATAAATAATTTCTTTGTCTTGTCACAACTATTTACACATTTAAATGTACAAAAGACACCGACTGCAGACAGACTAGGGCTCTGGGTAGTAAAACCTGTACCAAAGGGAGTCACACGAAAAGCCCCAGATCTGCAAACACACAAAACAAATTACAAGAAGAAACACTCATCTCCCCTGCACCGATGGGCAGAGTAGACGCTGCAGCCTAAGCTACTGAAGAAGAAAAACTAAAACAGAACAGAAGAGAGCCCAGTGTTTCCAGGAACACAGACACGGAGAATTGGTTCCCCGCTTGACCAGATGAGACATGGCCATGGGTCCTGCCTGGCTAACCTCATTCTTTGTGTGGATGCAGGAAACACTGGCAGATAGTCCAACCCTCTGCATTTGAAGCTGGGAGCCAGTGCGATAGCTGGGACACCGCAGACCCAGGCAGAGAGGCCTTGTTGGAGCCATGATCAACGTCCCACCTCTGAGGCAGGACGTATGGTTGAACCTTCTAAGCCAGTACAGCCCTGTTACTCAGTCTCCCTCAGATCCAGGAACCAATCTGTTGCAGGGCCTTCTGTTAGGGGTTGTGAGTAAAGTGAGGTGGCTGTGGAGGCCAGGACCTGGCTCTGGAGCCCTGCCACAGAGGTGCCAGACGGGCCTTGTTTGAAGGACAGTGTCCTGAATACCCTGCATCTCCTGTGCTTCCTCACAGAGGGTCTGCTGTGCTTGTTTGCTTTGCATTTTCTCACTGCTCTCCTACCACGGGGCAGGAATTGGGTCTGAGGGGCTGTCAGAGCCATTCCAAAGTCTATACGTGCTTCATATGTGCGTGCGCGTGCATGTGTCTGCATGCATGTCTGCGTGCACGTGAGTATGTGTGTGTGCACGCCTCCCTCAACCTTCACCCCAACATCCTTGAGGCCACATTCCCTCACTGGCCTCTTCTGAGCAGACACCCTCCTCCTCCTCCCTACAGGGTGGATTTGGGCAGGTCTGGGTAAACACACACAACCCTGCAGCCTCAGGAAGAAATGAAACGGAAAGGAGGGGGCCTCTCCATCCTCCACAGTCCCGGCTTCTGTTTATGAAGTCAGAATAAACCAAGAAACGGGGATAAAATGTTTAGGAAAATATATCTGTAACATCCTAACCGTTTTCATTCATGGGTTTTATTGTGACATTTTATTACAGGGACTTCTGCTTGGTTTCCCTTCAGCACAGACGTAAGCGCCCACCCTGGCTATGCCCTTCCTCCTGCTGTAGCCGAAGGATGCTTCTAATTACCCCTCAAAGACCCAGAGCACCAGGGACCGTGTGGCCAACGGACTCTTTCTTGGAAGACATTTTTCCTGCTAGACGTTTCCTGTGGCAGCTTGTAGGATTTTGTCCATAATGTGTCAGAAGGAAAGCGTGATCACCAGCCACTGGGAGCTCAGGTTTCTAATGCTTTACATGCTTCCGGTTGGGGAGGCGAAGGGAAGGCTCAGGAGAGGCGGTTGGTCTGTTGGCTCCTCGCCAAGATGGGCAGTGAGAGACTTAGATGGTGAGACATCACAGATCTGGAAAAATGTGGTCCCAAAAGGTGAGGGTTTCAGGAAGAGCTAGTGGCAGCCGCAGGCCCGTACCACCATGTTTCTGTACTTCTTCAGGATGACGTTGGAGCTGTCGTCGAAATAGAGGACGGATATTGCGTTGAGCTGGGTGGGTGCACAGCAGGGCTTCGGTACCGTGTCTGGGTTGATGAAATGAACCTGCAAGCCACCGACATGAATCATGGTGAGAGGCAGGTGGTGAGGCCTTCTGCCTGCTTCTAGATTTCTCTAAAGGACATCTATTCTCTGGCAAAGATGACTGCAAAGGACAGGTGAGCATGTCTAATGGCCCAGGACTTGCCTCCACCTTGCAGATGAGAGAACCAGGGTGCCCAGTCTTCATCATGCACATATCTGATATGGAAGCAACAGCTGGACCTCCAAAGAGACAGTGGAGCATCCTCCCTGACTCCTGCCCATTCAAAAATGCACTCTGTTTTAAGAGCTGGGGTTGTAGCTCAGTGGTAGGGTGCTTGCCCGGCACTCACAAGGTCCTAGGTTCAATTCTCAGCCTCACAACAACTAGAGGTCTGTTTTTGCTCATGGGCAGGTACCTGTGTGCCCTGCAGAGTAGGGGATCAGACAAGGGAAAACGGAAATGTCCTGCTGGTACCATGTGAGCACCAACGAGAGTGGTGGGGAGTGAGGCTAACAACTGGAGAGCGAGAAAGAGAGAAGGGGGGGGGAGGGGGGGGCGGGGGCGGGGCGGGGGGGGCGGGGGCGGAGGGGGGAGGCGAGGGGAGAGGGGAGGAAGAGGGGAGGGGGAAGAAGGGAGAGGAGAGAGAGTACACTATTCATCAAAGCTGACCCCAGCCCAGCTGACCAGTCCATATCATCAGGAGAACCCCGTACTCAAGACAGGTCAGAGATTGAGTTCTTCTGTGTGATTGGTTTGAGACAGGGGCTGGCTTTGAACTTGCTATGTAGCCAAAGATGATCCTGAGTTTCACATTATCTAGCCTCCACTTCCCGAGGCCTGGGCTGAAATGACAGACCTGAGCCTCCACATCCAACCAGTTTACATAGCACTGGAGACTGAGTCCCAGGGTAAGCAGTCTGTCAACAGAGCCACACCCCCAGCTCCCGAGTTGTTATTAATGAGCAACTCAAACAGGGTATGGCAAGTCAGGTGCCAAGTTGGTTACTAGGAAAGCCAGTACTTAAAGATATCCCTTGCTGCCGGCCTTGGGGTGCAGGCCTGCAATTCCAGCTACCTAGAGTCTGAGGCAGGAGGATCATAAGGTCACAGTGAGATCAAGACCAGACTGGATAGTTTACTGAAACCTGAAGGCTAAGGATACAGCTCCGTGGTAGAGAGCTTGGCAGACACCCGTGAGGTTGTGGGGACCATCCTTTTAACCATGAGAACAATGGCAGGAGGAAAAGAGAAAGGGAGGGAGCTGGGTCGCGGACCCTTCCTCTGCCAAAGGACAAAGCTTGGACTGACCAGAGGGCGAAGGGCGAAGGGCGAAGGGCGCTGATGAGCTTTCTACCCCAGACTGATGAGTAAGGAATGGGAACAGCATGAAGGAGACTAACAAAGAGAACGTCCAGTGGGACTTCAGGGGTGAGCTCTTTGGCACCAGAATTCAAACCAACCCAGGTGATCAGTTGTCAAGAGAAGCCCAGACAACATCCCCCGCTGAGAGCAAGGTCACCTAGAGCCTGGTGGAGCAGCAAACGCAGCATCGACCAGAGGCTGTGTGCACTAGCATGGGCTTAGAATATGCTCTCACCACATGGCTCTTCCCAGTGAGCCACAGAGGCTGATGTGAGTCAGCCGCTGCCATCCTTCAGTCCTTCTCTCACCTGCTTGGTCCATTTCCTCCCCGGACATTAAAGCCCTAAGGTCAAGAATATTGGGCTGTTCTCTGTAGTGTCCCAGCTCCTGGCACACAGCAGACAACAGAATAAAGCTTCTCCAATTAGTGACCTGAGGTTTCAAGTTCAAAGCAAGAAGAGAAAGCCATAGGCTCTGAGAGGGGCCTGTGGGCCTAACAAACTGAAGTCTACCTCTCTCACAGGAGGGGGCCAGGAGCAGTCAAGTCTTTTCAGAACACAGGATGGCAGGCTGACACCCAAGAGGATTGTCCCCACCAAGAGAAACCCAGTGTGAGGCACAGTGACTGTCTTTACCAGGAGGGGACCTAGTCTTCAGTGAGGCACAGTGACTCAGGGTCACAATACCACAGGAGCTCATGAAACTGTTTAACTTTTAAAATTAGAACAAATATAGAAATAGCAGAATTTTAGGGTCCAAGATTATACGTATCCATCTTTATACCATTACGTGCCTAAAACTTGTTTCAGCCGTCTATAGAGCAGGTGCTCACGAGAGCCGTCACGCACTTGGGCAGACAGCTGCTCAGGTTCTGGGTCAAAGGCAGTAGAAGCCACCCATACCCACACTGGCCACACCCCCAGGAGGCACCCACCAGTGTCTGGACGATGGCATGGTTGGTGGCGTTCATGTAGGAGTTCAGAGGGAAGGCACACTCCCCCTCACAGTAGTAGGCCGCATAGCCTTCAGGTGCGATGATCCAGTCCTGCGAAGAGAGGGGAGTGAGGCCAGATCTCAGTCAGGCCATGCAGAGGCCCCAAGCAGGGTCCTGTGTCCTACCCCTGTGTGGACTCCTTCTGCGTGTCCAGTGGACACAGGCTCAGACTATGCTCTCCTGACCTGTGTGTGGGGGGAGGGGGCCCTCAGGGGCAAGGAAATGAACATGGTATTTTGTGACACCAGCAGAAGGAAAAGAAAAATGACTCAGGGCCCGGAGGGGACACCCTTGGGTTGCATCTCATGGACCAGAGGTGGCATAGCAGTAGGAAGTGAGACATGGGTCAAAGACCACACCTAGAACCACCCTGTCCCTGCTCGGGGTGGCATGCCTCAGCTTGCTCCCAGGTGTATTCATGTTACAGCCTCGACTTTGCATTCTGGGTAAGGATAGCTACAGCCGAAACCAGAGACAACACCATAAATGTTGTTAAAACATTTTAAGTCTTTCGGTTGGTTTTGTTTTGGATCTTCTTTGTATGTAAGGTTTCAGCGTAGGTGGCAACACTTTGTCCCACTGTCGAGACTGGACAGGTCTGCGAATCTAACCCAAACTCCCCTGCTGGTGCACCTTCTGGAGCAAGAGTCAATGACCCACTGTGGCTCAGGTCATCCAGACATGGCATCCCCCCGAGCTCTGGGAATGTTGTGACAAGCTGTTCCACAAAGTGGCACATTCTAGGGATTGTGAGCAGAGAGCTCCTGCTGACGAGTGTTGGACACGGCTCACAGGAGACACTTGTTACGTGCAGAGCTCTCCCATCATGCAACCTACTTGGCTCAGGAACAAACACCTGATCTTAGTCACAGACCAGGACAAAGGGCAGACAGAGAAAGCTGACTTTCTAAGGCTGGATTTGAACACATGGCCTTATGTGAACGAGGCAGTCAGCCACGGGTGGGACTCGGGTGTGTATGAAGTTCAGACTTCAGAAGGGTGGTGTAGGGGGTGGTTCTGATGTTTTGATAGGGAATCAATTATTTAGTGATGTTGAAGGTCCTTGCCTCCAATTGGTTTTTGATCTATCAATAAAGATGTCAGTGGCCAGTGGTTGGAAGGAAAGAAAGAGGCGGGACTTCCAGGTTCCCACAGGCAATGATAGAGGAGGAGAACTGAGATTCCTGGGAGAAAAAGAGGGAACACTCAGAGCTACAGGGAGAGCTTCCAAAATGTAGGCAGAAAGGAAAAGCTGCCGGGAAGCATCTTGGGCAGCAAGACCAGTGGCTTCACAGAAGGTAACCCAGCAACTAAACCGAGGGCAGATTTAGAGATGTTGGGCTGGGAGTGAAGGTAAGGGCAAGTTAGCCACAGGAGGTTTAGAAGTGCCCGACCACTGAGCTAAAAGCATCTTAAAAATGTGTGTGTGTGTATGTATGTATGTGTTTGTGTGTATATATGTGTGTATGTGTGTGTGTGTATGTGTGTATATGTGTGTGTATGTATGTGTGTGTGTATGTGTGTGTGTATGTATGTGTTTGTGTGTGTGTATATGTGTGTGTATGTATGTGTTTGTGTGTGTGTATGTGTGTGTGTGTGTGTGTGTGTATTTCATCAGCAGATCTAAGGGAACCAGGGCACTGGCTGGTAGCTCTGTCCACCCAGAGCTTAAAGCAGGGTAGTAGAAACGACATGCTACAGGGTGATGCTTCAAGTTCTGGCCCACGAGTCTATCACGCCATGAGTGACATGGCACATCATGGATGGCCTCATATGTTCAACCCAAGTCATCCTCTGTGGTTGGGGCTCCTGGCTTCTGACATCTCACAAAGACAGGAGCTGGGACTGGGACTCAGTTGGTAGGGTGCTTGCCTAGCAGGCAGGAAACTCTGGGTTCCGCTCCCAGCACAGCACAAACCAGGCATGGTGGCACACTCCTGTAATCCACAACTCGGGAGATGGAGGCAGGAGGAATCAAAGGACGAGGCCATCTTAGGCTAGACACTGAGCTTGATGCCAGCCTGGGACATATGGGACCATGTTCTAGGAGGACCAAAGACAGGAACTATGACACACTGTACCCACGGAGACACCCGTGTGGTCACCAGGGACAGAGCAAGGCCCGGTGCATGGAGATTCGGTTGTCCTTACCTGCCAGCCAAGGTCTCGGAAGCTGACGTAAAGCTCATGTTTCTTGCAAGCCTGCCTCTGGTCACTGCTGCTGTTTTCTGCACGGACAAGGAGGCGAAGGAGGAAAGCCCAGGGAAGAGAGAGAAAAACACATGTTTAAGTCCCCTTGGTTCTGCAGTGGAAGAGCAGCCATTGGATTCAGGGGCTGCAGGGCAGCGACGGCTCACGAGCCGCTTGAGGACCCGTGAACCTCCAAGGTCAAGCCCCAAGGTCACCTCTGCCCTTTCGTAGAGGCCTCCAGTTCCACTCAGACTTATCCTGCTTCCAGACCACTCTGCCTGGGGAGGCCCAGCAAGATGCTCACGTACCTGTCCACAGTCGAGGTACTGTGACAGCTGAGGTTGAGGACAGGACCCAGAGCAAGTCCCATAACCCCCAGCAGCAACTGCTGAGTTTCTTTAAGGTGCAAGAACAGTGTAAGTGTGTAGCATCTGCACCAAAGACTGCACTCTGTAAACACTGTGGGAGTCTGTCTGTCCGTCCATCCCTCATCCACAGCTGTGGAATCTTCCCCTACCCTGCAGCTGCACAAGTAGTTGACACTTAACGCCATCTCCAACCTGAGACTCCCAGGGCCTGCCTTCGCCTGCCCTTGCCAATAAAGCCCGGGCCCCTGGTCTACACTAGAGAGCCCTGCAGACCAGGTTCCCGAGTGTTAATGCACTTCTCATCCCCAGACACTCTGCAACTATCTAAACATGGTGACTGCTCCCCCTGAACCCAGTGACAGGCCACTGGGTGTCTGGTGACAAATGACACATCCCTTAGACCCCACTTTCCAGAATGCACAGGAATTCCACCTGCATAGCTCTGAGGTCAAGAAGAGCAAGCATAGCCAGTCTGTCTTTAGCACACAAAGGTCAAGGGTCAAAGCCCCACCACAATATAGTCCGCAGAACTTGGATAGCTGGTCTACCTTCTGGAACAGCTATGGACTGGATATCTGGTCTACCTTCTGGAACAGCTATGGACTGGATATCTAAGGCACCATTGACCACTATGCCCTGGCTAGAGGCTGCAGCTAACACTATCCACCCGACAAGGCCCATTCCCCTGTTCCCTGTGGGAGCAGAGAGGGCTGTGGACTACCTCCTCAGGCCAGGGTGAAGCAGTCTGAGGAAGATACAGTTCTGAGTAGGCTCACTGGGGTCAAACTGCCTACAGTTCCCAGTCCTGATTAAGGGCGGATCCTGAAGCAAGATACAGAAAAAAGTGCTGTGATTATTAATGACGTGAAGGGAAGGGGTTAAGACCTCAGTGAAGATCTTTGGTTTAGTGTTGGCAGCTAGCTGTGGGCGTGCTGTGGGGGATGGGCCCTTGCTTATCCTATCTGGGGTTGTAGCCGCCCTGGAGGAAGGTGAATGGAATTCTCCAGCAGGTCCTTCTTAGCAGAAAAGCAAGGGAAGGGGATAAAGGAGACACCTAGCTCCCCTACCCGTAATCCTGTTCCACTCACCCCACCCGGCACAACAACAGAGGCCCCGTGAGCAGCAGGCCGTGCAAGCCACCAGCCTCTGAGCAGCTATCTCCGAAAGGCCCTGCCCTGGACAGGTGCTCAAACTTGCTTCCACACCCAAGGGTCAGCTGGAGGTGGCCAATTACTAGGGTGTTAGGCTGAAGGGGGCAAGGGACCCAGGTTCTGCATTTGCGTCTCAGGAGCAGCTGGAACCCTGAGGCAGGGGTGGCCGACAGGAAAGAGACTTTCATGCAGAGGCATGCTGGGACATGTGTCTCCAGCTGGACACATAAAGGGTGATGTGTGTGCAAGAAAGGATTCGACTTGTGTGGCCCAGCAGTGAGGTGTGAGCACTTCAAAGGCACTGGGCACACGCCTACGCACACGAACAAGCTGCCTCACTAAACCAGGGCGGGGCCCCAGTCCTGTTTGTTTTTTAAATGTTAAACTTCCAGGCAGGGTTTGGAAGAACTTAAAACAAGGGTAGGGAGTTGAAATCTATGGGTGTAGGCAAATTCCGAGCCAGATGGATTAGCTGTCGTGGAAGGGGGCATCCTGGAGTTATGGAAGTGGGCACTCTATGGGACACCGTGGGGTGGTCGGCTTCCAGCCCCCAGTGTTCCTCTTAGTCTGGAGGCAAATGTCTGTCATAGATCTTCAAGATCTACGTTGCAGATCTACAAGACAAGTCCGCTTTGCTGGAATAGGACATGCCGGAACTTTTTGCCCAGCTGAGTTGGCAAAGGCCTCTGGGAAGTTTCAGATTCTGCATGGAGGGAGCCCTCCTTCACCCTGGGCTATGCCCATCCTTTCCAGAGCAGCCAGCATGACCTCACACCTACACTGCACGCAGCCTGAAGCCATAAAACTCCCACTCCTGCTTGGGATGGACTTCAGGCTCGAGATGAGACTCCCAAGAGAATGTCCCACCACCTACCCATGGCTTCAGCTGTTTCTTCCGTCCCAGCCACCAGTCCTAAAGGCTGGTCAGAGAAGTCAGAGACTGAGATTTTGTATCCTTGGGGTGCATGGGCCTCCGGAGGGGGAACCAACCTGGCCTCAGTCATATCTCTCAGCTCAATTCCCAGGGGAAGTATTTCTGCACCTCTGGAATAAGCTGAGTTACCCAGCCACCCCCACTCCTGGGCCTGTCACTGCATACAGATGAGGGTGACAACCATGCCTACCTGTCTCAAATAGCCTTTATAGCTAGGCTTTCACCTCAGAATTCCAATCCTAGAATAAACAAGGCCCCCACATATGAAAGAACCCAGTTCTTTATTTGGGGGCTCACAGACCGTTCTGAGGTGCCTATAAATGGCCCCACCTGGCAGAAAAGAACTCATAGAAGACTATACCTGGCCCACACAGGCCACTGATGGAGAGAAGGCAGAGACTCTGTGCTAAGAACAGCAGCTTGCAGGCTGTGCCTCATCCACAGCTGACATGTTTTACTGTGCTGTCCTGAGCTGCCCGACGTTGGGTCTGGGTACTGAGGCAGACTGACTTATTTATACAAGTTAAATAAGACCGTCAGCCTCCACACCAGAAGCTACAACCAACAGGTAACTTATTGGTGTCTGTAAACAATGCTGTCTAGGAATATATCTATGTCAGAAACATCATGAGCCGTCCATCATACCAGCTGGAACCACCTCGCCTGGGCAAGGAGCAAAGGAACACCGGACACAGTCAAGCAGGCACAGTGACCCAGGCCCTCCTCACTGGTCATGAGCCTTGCATAGGAAAATTGCCACAGGGAAGAACTCCACCTGTCCCCTGCTTCCAGGTCCAGCCCCTGCCTGTCACCATCAGCTCCCTGCCAATCCATACCAAAAACTCACCTAAGCCTACATTTGACAACTCTGCCCCCAATAGCCCAGAGCCAGTCCTGAGACTCCTTTAGTCCCCACAGAGACGTTCTCTATGCCTGGCCAGCTCTACATCCCTAGCGTTAGGGCTGCCTCACTGAGCAGCACTGCCTGCTTCTGAGCCACTCCTTAGCCACTCTGTAATGAGTGGGTTACATACGCAGTATCATGTTGCATGTGTGCACGGTGCTCGAAGAGTTTAATAGTTTAGTAGCTAAGACTGACTTACCAGTTAAGATTGGAATAAAACCAGTGATTGGAAGTGGCCATGTCTACCAAGGCAAAGGGGTTCTTGGTGAATTAAAGCCAGACAAACAGGCGTAGCCTCTGAATCAATTTATACTTCTCTCTACCCACCAACGTCTACACAGGGTACTGGAGGACAGCCTAGAAGCAGTAAGTCCAACCGCCCCCCCTCCCCGAAGGCTACTCTCCCTCTTCAGAAATAAAATGGCTACCAATTTCAAGACAAGAGGAAGAAGAAGCCATGTATAATGCAAAGTTACCTGGAGTGGAGGGTTTGGGAATGGCCCGGTGGTCTCACACTTAATTCTAAACAGCCCAAACTCCCTTGTGTGTTTCCTCAGAATCCCAAGGGTAGGAACTGGAAGAATGAGTCGGCTTAGAGCCCTCACAAGCAAGCCTGGTTGGTTTGTGTGTAGCTCCTGCCTTGCTTCAAGGTCACCAGAGCCCCAGAGAAGCCACAGGCTGGATAGACATGAACCAGGTCACAGGCTGATCTGTCTGGAAGCATCTGCAATGAACTGGTCCCCTCTGGCTGCTTGGACCTACCTGCCACGCTGGCCATCCTCAGTGCCTCTTGATTCTTTGGTGTCTTTGAGCGGTTCTGGCTACGCTGCTTGCCCCCCGTGGACCGGATGCTACGGAGATGGACCTCCGTGGCCTTGAAGAAGGCCACCATGAAGGGCTGCTTGTTCTGGGGTCCGTGCCGTCCAATCAGGCCCGCCAACTTGGGGTTGATGCTCTGTCCTGCAGAGGAGGTATTGGTTACACAGAGGTGTGGGGGACAGGGACAGGCTGAGGGACACCATTCTATTCCCACCTTGCAACCCATTCACGTACTTGCTGTTCATTCATCCGACAAGGACTGACTGGGTAATTAATTCTAGGAGCTGTTTTAGAAGTTCCCTGGTCTGCCGGGCGGTGGTGGCGCACACCTTTAATCCCAGCACTTGGGAGGCAGAGGCAGGTGGATCTCTGAGTTCGAGGCCAGCCTGGTCTACAGAGTTCCAGGACAGCCAGGGCTACACAGAGAAACCCTGTCTCAAAAAAAAAAAAAAAAAGTTCCCTGGTCTGTGATGACCCCTGTGGGGTGGGAGGAGGGGCAGCATACAATCACCCAGTGGTGACCCGAACACTAAGCAAGGAACAAGGAGTATGGGGAGCCAGGCCAAGACCAGCGTAGGGCGGGGAGGGCGGTGTCTCAGGCTAGTGAGCTGGTCACTTGGTCAGCTAGACTTCAGAGGAAGGGAAAATAATTGCCGTGTTCTAGGAGGTAAGCATGGCTGCCAACAGTCGATGACAGAGGAGAGGCCACCAGAACAAAGACGAGGTGGCAGTGAGGCATGAGTCCTGAGTGGGAAAGGTCACCACGGTGTAGAGCGCTGCACAAATAAAGGCCTGTCGGGAATAACCGAGGCTCAAGTCCTGGAGTGTCAGAGACTGCCAGGAGAGGGAAGCAGGCATGCGGGATGACAACAGACAACAGGCTACAGGCACAGATATCCTCCAAGCCAGCAAAAGCATTCTGCCTGAACAAGGTCTTTGCAGGTGTAAGCCCTTGAGAAACAGCCAGGCCATGCAGGACAGGCTTTAACCCAGGCACCAGTGGCTCTGTGAAAAGGGAGAGGCCACACATCACCACGGATGCCAGGAGACGGAGCTGCCTGAAGTTGGGGTGGGGAGGCACACAGCGTTTCTGCATTTACATGGGGACAATAAATCTCTGGTACTTGGGAGACAGCAGCCTGTGGAACTTGGTCACGATACCCGGAGTGGGACAGGCAATGACTGTAGAAACGGGAGGAGGTATTGGGCTGGAGACTTCAAGTATTCTCTGCGATGACCTTGGGCTGGCCCTGAAACCAGACTGCAAGCAGAAAGGCAGAAGCCAGAGACCAGGCAGACGTAGCTGAACAGCCTAGGAGAGTGCCAAGGGTCCAGCCTGGGGCAGGGTCCAGCCTGGGGCAGTGGAAGGGACTAGTAGGATGTGATCAGATTCTTGGACACCCTTGCCCAACACCCTCCCGTTGGCTTCTCACTGCTGCCTGATTAACCCTGGGAAGCTGCTGATTTCAGTTTCTGTCTGGAAATAGCTTCACATGAAATCAGAGGAGGTGGGGAGGGCGTAGGGAGGCAGGACAAGCTCGGGGGTACGTGCCTGTCATTTCAGCTGCCCTGGAGGCTGAGGCAGGAGAATTGAAAGTTCAGTTCATGTTGGAGACTGAGGGACACTTGCCTCAAAAATGTAAAGAGGACTTGGGATGGGACTTAGCTCAGTGTAACAACATGTGTAAGGCTGTGAGCTCCACCCCAGCATCACACACACACACACACCACACACACCATACACACACTGCACCACCACATACACCACACCATACACACCACACCACACACACACAACACAACACACACACATACCATGTATACACCACACCACACACACACCATACATACACACCACACACACAGAATGACACACACACACCACACACCATAATATACCACACCACACACACACCATACATACATACCACATGCACCACACACACACGCACCACACACCATACAGACACCACATCACACACGCATCATACATATACACCACACACACACCACACACCATACATACACCACACACACACACACACACACACACACACACACACACATACTACACACACCATACACCATACATACACCACACACGCACCATACATACACACACACACAAAGCAACAGAGAGAAGCATGTTCCTGTGTGGGCATGGTGGCAGTAATGAATTTCAGACCTGGAAAATTGCAGGTTCTGCTGTGTCTTGAAGAAAACTGAAGGAGTTCGCTGAGAGACGGCAAAGGGACTGAGAAAAGAACAGTTCTGTGAGACTGGCACCTCCTTGGCCTAAAGCTGTGATGGCTTTACAAAGATGGGAAACCGAGTCAAGGGGCTGCAGAGTGGAACACGGGAGACAAAGTTCAGTTTAGCTTAGCAGATGCTGTGTGAAATGCCTTCTTGGTACCAAGGGTTAGGGCTAGGGTCATGTGGCCAGTAAGAGGTCCTAGCGGAAGGAATGGACAAGCCTTGCCTGAGGAGTGAGGACACCTCGGCTCAGGCCAGGCTTCCTGGGTGGCTGCTCTCCTCGGTTTATTAGACCCCCCCCTCTTCCTACCATTGTACAGAGCTGTGCTCAGTTCCACTTGAGGAGATTTGAGGCCAGACAACCATGGCAGTGGTGCCCAGGTACCCTCTCTCTTCCACAGAGTCCAGCACCATGTGCAGGCTCCCCTAATTAGGAGGGATCTTTAAAACATGAACAAGATGGGGTGGGAAAAGGAACTCCAAGAAAGCCTGGCAACCCTGAAACCTGAGGCAGGAAGCACAGCAAAGAGCGTCCAGGCTGAGATGACCAACCATGACTGTCAAAGTCAGCAAACCTCTGGTTATATTTATGAAGGAGTTTCCAGACTGGCTTAGCCGAGCTGGGAGGACACGCCTCACGCTTGGGTCTTATCCCACGGCCTGGGATCCTGGGAAGATTGAGGAGCTGAGCTCTGCTGCTCGTCTCTGCCTGCTTCCCGGCAGTGTACACTGTGTGCCCAGCTGCCTCACACTCCCGATCCTGGGATGGACGGTAGACGGACGGTACCCATGAGCCATGAGACACACCAGACCTGAGCTTACTGCTTTTGTGGATTATTCTGTCATATCACTGGGAGAAACAACTCACACCCAGGTCCTGGGCTGTGCCAAGGCCCTGCTGATAAGTATGCTCTGTCTCCCCGTGAAACAACAAGATCCTTAGACTCCAGACATCATCAGATGGAGGCGATGCTGACTGCCCACAGCAGGGCAAGATCAGAGAGGCTGAGCCACCTGCCTAAAAGACTCACAAAGCAGCGACCCTCAATCTGACCACAGATGAGGCACTTCACCAGTGCAGCTACTACACCCCCAAGTTCAGGGACAGAGCCTAGGCCAGCCAAAGTGACAGCTGGAAGTCACACCAGCTAGTGTTCCCCCAGGGAGGTCGGAGATGGGGAGAAGCCCAGCTTCCAGTGTCTGGCTCCATCTGGCAGTTAGAATGGCTTTTTTAAGAGTTTGCATTTAAGAAAACACATTTCCCAACCCCCACGATTCACCTTCCCTCCTTTCAGCGTCCGTCCGTCTCTCCTGCATTCTTGAGCAGGGTCCCCCCCAGTTCTATAACGAGAGTGAGTCTATAAAAGAAACCATTAAAGCTGGGCCCCGAGGAATTGCACTTCCCCCCTGGAAGGCTTTTAGGGTAGAATAAAAAGGCCTTGCCTCAAGCCCCAGTGCCTCTCTGGACCCCTTAAATCCAGGCGCCAAGCGTGGCCCCAGTCCCCAAAGCCCTTCTGACCTGCTGGCTAGGGCCAGAGGCTGCCAGCAAACCCACCTCCACCTACCTCAATCTCTGCTAAGAAGAAGCCAAAGCCCATGCTTGCCACCAGCAGCCTGCATACCCTTGATTTCCTCCTGTGTAGACTGGATGAAGCCATTGGTCTCACATCCCCATTTCCCCAGTTTATGGCACACCTATCTCACCCAGGCAGCTTTGCCCAAGCTCACTCTGCCCTGGCCTCAGGACTGGGTGGAAGGCGATTTGGACAAGAGGCACCTAATCCTCCTGTACAGTCGCTGTCACTGCTCAGGGGTGAGACGTGACCCAGTTCAGCCAAAACGTGGAAGGGAGAAGTCTCTAGAATCTTCCAGAGAATCTGCTAGAAATTTCTAGAAAACACACTTGCTGTTCTCATGTCCAGCAGTGCAGAAACTACCTCCACCTACCGACACCATGTTTCCAAAAGAGGGCTACCCGTGGAAAGACCCCTCAGAGAGGGGCTCCTGTGACACAGCTTTCACTGAGTCAAGCCAGCCTGTAGCCCATGTTCTCTGATGCCAGCCTCTGGTGTGTGTGTGTGTGTGTGTGTGTGTGTGTGTGTGTGTGTGTGTACGTGTGTGTGTAGCGGGGGAGAGTAATTCCGGACTCTAGAGTTAGTCATCAAGGTGGGACATTCATGGTGATGATTAGGGTGAGAACTTAGGCTACAGGGCCTAGCACAGAGCTGGTCCTCAGGAGCACATGCATCTGCCCTCATCACCTATGGAGGAGTAAGAGTTGTGCTTTCTGTGTAAAGGCTGGAAGACAACCCAACTGCATTCGTCATCTTTAGAAAGACTTAAACACACCCTATTAAGAGTGACAGCTAAATTTAGAATCAGAGACACACCTCTGTGGCGGTGGGGCACTTTCCCAAGAGAGGTTTAAATGAAGAGGAAGACCACTATCAGTGTGGTCTGAGGTGCCACACTGAGTGAGAGAGTGAGCTAAGCACCGGCGTTCATCTCTCCCTGCTTCCTGACTGCTGAGGATGCCCCGTGACCAGCTGCCGAACTTCTCTGCAGAGACAGACCAGATCCCCACACCATGAGCCACAGGAACCCCTCCTCCCTGAAGTTGTTCTCGTGGGTGTTTTGTCACAGCTGTGTAAGTAATACAGCCCACTCCACACTCCACACACTAGAGTCCACAGCTGCCTTATTCCTAATAGCCTAGAAGCAGAAACCACAGCCAGACACGTGGGAAACAAGGAGGGCAGGAAGGTACGCTACAGGTTAGGGCCCCCACAGAGGGTTCTGTGCACTGGAGGGTGCTCTAGCAGCCTCCACCCAGAACTCCAGACAATGTCACATGTCCCTTCAGAAGCAAAAGGTCCTGGATGAGAGCT